ATTATTCAGACACATTAACTAACAACAAAGCAACCATTACGACATGTTAGACCACCGCCATCTGACAGCAAAATACATAAACAACAACGAAAAATAAACATAAACCTTTCACAAATAACTTTCCCACAATAAAAATACAACAAATGCTCAAACATACAAACACAGCTCCCATAAGCCCAAGACAAAATACCCAAATTCAAACTACACAAAAACATCTGCATCCGATAGTGCCAGCCATTACATATTTGATCCAGTTTAAAAAACCAATAGTCAAGTCAAGTTCACCCTCTTCACCTCAGACTTCAACTACCACCTTCAGAAATGTTATGATGACTCAGCAATAGTTGGCTGCATTGAAAAGGGTGATGAGAATGAATACAGGACTGTTGTGGGCAACTTTGTTACTTGGAGTGAGCTGGTCACTCTGACGACCGTGGCAGAGAGGAGGATGCTGTCCAGGCTTCAGTCCATCTTGGACAATGTCTCTCACCCTCTCTACGACACACTGGCCCAGCAGAGGAGCACCTTCAGCAGAAGACTCCTCTCACCCAGATGCACCACAGAGCGCCACAGGAAATCATTCCTGCCTGTGGTCATCAATCTCTGCAACGCCTCCCTCAGAGAGTCAGACACCCCCTCTCTACAATCATTTTTTGCACTTTTTGCACATTATTACTGTACATTTGATCTTTTATATATATATATATATAGTTATATATTAGAGCTGTCAATCGATTAAAAAAAACAACTAATTAATCACACAAATTTCTGTAATTAACCCTTTAGGCGCCGGGTTTTATTTTTAAAAATACTAGATTTTGACATCTAAATTTCAGGAGGCTCTGGCTTGAAAGTGGTTTGAGTTAGAGACATATTGAGAATGACCTAAAATTTATCTAGGGAGTCAATTTTTCCATCTAATTTGCATATTATGACGTCATATAGCGACGGCCATATTGGATTATATAATTTCCATGAAATACCTGATATTTCATGGAACTTATTTCATCAGATTCACCCCCACCATCTATTTGTTATGTTGTCCACATATCAAATGAACAGGTAAAAGTAAATTGTAAGCCAGCAGTCGTAAACTAGAACCATTACTACCACAAAACTCATGTAAACAGTAGGCGTTTTTTATGATTTTTTACCCAGCACCACCCGTCCTATTGGAGGACACTTTTTCTTTTCTTTTTTATTCTCTTCTTCATTATTATTATTATTATTATTATTATTATTATCATTATAATATGATAATAATAATAATAATAATAACAGTAGGCGTCTTTTAGCTGCAGAGGCCTAATCTGATCTATCCAGATAAAAGTTTGTAGTATTTGTAGAGTGTGGAACCTCTCATTGCAAGGCACAGTACAGAGACAATATGAACAATATTGAGACCCCACCACATAGCCTAACAAATGGACAGGTACACATCCGCATCGGATGGCTGCACCACTGCCGCGCATGGACGCACCGTGCCCGGCGCGGTAGAAAGAGTGAACACTAACGCTGGTCCCAGCGCTATTCTCACCACCCCCGCTACTTCTACCACATCCATTAGCTCCCTTACTGATACTACGAGTTTGTGTAGTACTCCCACCTATGTTGGGCAAAGGGTCGTGTGTTTGTGCTTGTGTATTTTCCTCTCTACACTCAATTGGGAGAAAACAGCTGTTTGATTCAGTAACGCAATTTTGCGACTTTGGCGATTAATTTATCAATAAATTAATTGCATTTTTGTACTTAAGACTGAAGCTTATAATTAATATTTATTTATGTAAAATCATCAAATTAATGTAGAATAAAAACAGAGAGTATATTTAAAATCAAAAACAATTTTAATGGCTTACGGTGCACATATGCACAGTACAAATACCACAAAGAATGAGGAAAGATACTGTTGAAAGTTCATTGAAAATTTTTCATTCCACAGATATAATTTACTTAGTCCTTCTTCACACTCAGCCAGTTACTGAGGCAGACCTGTTTGTTTACATTATCAGGGGACAAAGAAGCTCGCTTCTTTTGAATGATGTGGCCTGACAGTGAGAACAACCTCTCACAAGGCGCTGTGGTTGCAGGGGTTGACAGGTACTTGCGTGCAATGGGTGCCAGCCTGGCATGTGCTCCCTCTCTCTTTGACCACCATTGTAGTGGACACCCCTCTATGTCCATTTTTGGCTCTGCTTTGTAGCGATCCAGACAATGCTCTATGGACTCCTCCTCGTTATCTGTATCTGAATCAGAAGAACCCAGCAAGATGGACGTCCTCCTCTTCTTTGGTGACGGCTCCTCTGTTGTCCCAGCAGGTCTCTCATCATCAGGTCACATACTGAAGCCCACACCTCACTCCTTTCATCTTTTGGAAGGCACTTAAGGCCTTTAAACCTAGGGTCAAGGGCAGTAGTGATCTTCAGCCATTTGAGGTTGGTGCTATCCTTCCGTTGAGCTAGGTCTGTGGTAAAGGCCTTCTTGAACCTCATAACCAACCAACATAAACTGGATCATCGTCTGAGGGCTCCATAACTCTGAACAAGTGGCGTAAGGCTGGCAAGACCACTGAACAGGAGACATACTGCTCTCCCCCCAGCAGTTCAGTCACATATCTGGAATGGAAAGCACAAGGTGTTTCAGTAAATCTTTACACAGAGAACCAGTGCACGCACAGACACACAGGTGAAAAAGAGAGGGAGAGAGAACAACAACATACACACACACACACAGAAGATGGAGAGGGAGAGGGGGAGAGAGAGAGAGAGAGAGAAAGAACAGCACACACATACACACACACACACACACACACACACACAGGTGAAAGAGAGAGGGAGAGAGAGAAAACAACATACACACACAAGATGGGGAGAGGAGAGAGAGAGAGAGAGAGCACACACGTGAAGGGAGAGGGAGAGAGAGAAAACGGTACACATATACTGTACACAGAGAAAGAAAGAGAGGGAGGAGAAACAAGAAATAAATAACTTACCTGCAAGGTTCAAGTAGTTCCTCCAGCTTTTTCAGTTTGGCAAGCTCCTGGTCAGTCAACATGGCAACCTTGCTCTTTTGTTGCGCCAGGGTAGTGGTCAGTGGAGATTTGTTTCTCTGGATCCTCTTTACCATCTCCAGCGTAGAATTCCATCTTGTTGCAACGTCCTGAGCAAGTGATTCTTGCTAGATGGACTATGCTTAAAGTGCCCGACAATCTTGCAACATTTGGCCAGAACACTTTCAAATCCACTGTCTTTAAGTGAGACTGTGACCGTTCTTTGCAGACAGTGGGCCATGCAAAGCAGGTGTTCAAATGGAAGTAGCCTCGCGGCAGCAACCATGTTGCGAGCACTGTCAGTGCCGGGTGTCCTCAACTTTTCCTTGATTTTCCCATTCGTTTGCAATATCCAGAAAATGGTTAGCACATGCCTCGGCATAATGTCGGGCCTTTTACTCACAGTAAGTGCAAAAGACTACAGAGTCCAGTCTTGATCAATGAAATGCGCTGTGATGCCCAAATAATTATCGTTGTTGACAGACATCCAGTGGTCACCTATGAGAGCGATGTGCTTTGCTTACTCAAGCATGTTCGTCCGCTGTGACCTCTCATCCTCATACAATGTGTGTATTCTTGACACAATGGTTACTCCTGAGGGTAAATTATAAGAGGTATCTCCCGATGCAACACAAATTACTTCTCTCAGTCCATCATCCTCTACTGTGCTAACTGGGCGGCAGTTTTTAACTATCCAAGTAACCAAGGAATTTGTTAATTTTTCACTTACAGGTTTCGTTATTCGCCCATGAGTGCCACACTCCTGTAGTGTAGACTGGCGAGGTCCCGTGGAGTTAATTTCAGCAGGGGCTTTGAGGTGATATGCTAAAGACGTGTTACTTCTGTGGTAATTAAATTCGGCTTTGCAAACTGTGTACATCGCCTTGGTTTTGTCCAACGAGCCGTCGGGCAACTTTTTAAAAAGAAACTTTCCCCCTAAAAGTCCGACCTTATCCATCTTTCCATAGACTCTCCTTTAGTTAAGATAGATGTTTGCCTGGTTTGCCCCCGCACGTGACCAAAAGTTATGGGTCAGCCGCCACTGGAAGTAAACAAAACCACGTTAATTGCGTTAATTGTTTTTAATGCATTAAATGTTTAAAAATAATTGCCAAAATTAACATGTTAACTTTGACAGCACTATTATATATATATATATATATATTTAGGGACCGAGCCAGCGATGCAATGTCCACTCTCCAATAAACTTCATATATTCTGTAACAGTCTCGCCCTGAACACGTCCTCATAACTTCATTGACGTGGTCCAATCTCAATGAAACTTCACGTGTGTTATAACAGTCCCGCCCTGAACTTGTCTACATGACAATATTAAGACATAGTGATAGTGCCACCTACTGTCAACAGGAAGTAAGTGCTGCGTGGCGATTTTGAGCTGATTTACGTGAAATTTAGTGTTTTGGTCTGTACGTGTAACGATAGCACGTGACGTGGCTGCAGCACGCCCCGAGTTGCGTGGAGTGCGAGGTCCCGCCCAATGCTGCTTGCAGCTTTAATTATGTTTAGATTTTGTCCTTAATATATGTTGTTTGTATATCTGGAGTTGTTTGTATAATATATGCTTTTTATATATCTGGAGTTTGTAACAAAAATAATTTCCCCCTGGGATTATTAAAGTATTTCTGATTCTTATTCTGATTCTGATAACTTAAAAGGACAATATAAAATTAAATGATTTCACCTCATTTAGCTCACAATACTTTTTCGTCTTCTGTCAGACCTCTGTACCTTCCTGTTTCTATGTGTAGTAGTAATATACCACATCTTAACTGTGCATAAAGTGATCGCTGACTTTTCGGCAAATTACATGTAACATATTTTTCACATGGAAAGCGGTCCTGACTGTTGCATCACACATTATTTTACGTACTAATACTTGATTCCCCTGAAGATAAAATCAAGTCTATAAAACGTTGCAACAGAGGAGATCTTCATTGGAGCTGGTGGATTTTACCAGCAATGAGCTGGAGACACAAGACAGAGAAGCCAAGAGATTGAAACCAGAGACGCTCAGAGTAGGTATTACTGACGTCTGATCAAAATCAAAACATATGTTAAGAACATTTATCTCTTAAGTCTTCATTGTTTAACTTTAATGATTTGTGAAATCTCCTAGAATGATACTTTTGTGATTGTCAGAGAGGAAATTTAGGTTTCACAGTAAAAGAAAAAAGAGAAAAACAGGTGGGGGTTGCTACACACATAGAAATATTTATACACAATAAAATGTAATTTACCAAAACCAAAAATTGATCTCCGATCAATGCATTTTACTCAACAATTTCTGATCAAAGTCAAAATGTATGTATAGAATCAGAATCAGAATCATGTTTATTGCCAAGTAGGTTTTTACACCTTTGAGGAATGTGACTTGGTGCATTGGTGCATAAAATATACAAATATACAAATAACTTACATTATCAGTGATGCCTAAATTGTCAGGGTTTAAGTTTACAGGATCTTTTGTTCTTTCAGATTGATGGAAAACTACACCTACAATAGCTTCACGTTACAGCTGGAGGGGTTCGATGTTTCGAAGGGTTCTACTTACCCCATGTTTCTTTTTCTCCTTTTCTCCTACTTGTTTATAAGTTTTGCAAATGTGGCTATTGCTGTTCTGGTTTTCATAGACAAAAGCCTCCACCAGCCTATGTATCTCCTATTTTGCAACCTGTCAGTGAATGATATACTTGGAAACTCTATCATGGTTCCCCGTTTGCTTATAGACATGTTGCGGCCTCCCTCTGAGCGTCTCATCAGTTATTATGAATGTGTGGTTCAAGCTTTCACCACACACATGTTCAGTACCACTGCTCACACTGTGCTCATGATTATGGCCTTTGACAGATATGTGGCCATTTGTAATCCCTTGCGCTATTCTTCCATAATGACCAACAAAATGCTGATGAAGCTAACAGTTTCTGCCTGGGGAGTGGCTTTCGTTTTGGTCGGGATTCTACTCGGCCTGACCCTACGACTGAACCGTTGTCGGACTTTTATAAAAAGCCCTTACTGTGACAATGCTGCACTGTTTAAGCTCTCCTGTGAGAGTGTGTTAATTAATAACGTTTATGGCCTCACTTTTACTGTATTTTTATTTTTTTACTATTATATTATATTCAAAAGGATAATATCTACCAATTGGGATGCCCGTCTTGGTCAAGAGCATTAGAAAAAAGGGAGTACAGGAAAGATTTTTGAGTTAACAATAGCTCAACATAAGGAAAATATGATGAAGTCAGCAGTCGGTCAAGTGTTGGTGTCGGATGCAAAGAAACTACTTAAAACTACCTGTTACATGAAAATGAAGACAACCAAACAAACAAAAGTTGTGAGGTTAAAAATCCTAATATATGGATGTATGGATGGATCACAAAGTCTGTACTATCTTTCATAACAATAAAACTAAAATGTATGTGGCCTTTGAATGTGCCCTGGAAGACACAGTTTGGTTATTCTGTCCTCTATCATTTAATGACATTAAATTAAAAATGAATTGTGTATCCCTTTAAGATTGCATCACCAGTAATATTCACACAGCTTGTTGACAGTTGCTATGGTCATCATAATCTCTTAATTTTGCATCACACTTCACCTGTGGTAATGATCACTCATTCCTTTAAAGGTAAAATCATGTCTATAAAAAAATGCAATAGAGGAGATCTTGATTGGAGGAAGTGGTGAGCAGTACGTGGGAGACACAAGTTAGAGAAGGCAGATTGAAACCAGAGACAGGTATAAGTGAGCTAAGAGACTATTTCATTTTTTACATATTTGGCCTCAGTTTTCTTGCAATGTATGATTTTTTTTTTCTTCAGCTTTCATTGTTTTACTTTAGTGATTTGTGGAACACCAGAGATAACACCAGAGATTGAGAGGGATTCAATTTAGCTTTCACAGTATATATAGCTATAAAGAAATTCCTACAATCTGGGGAAAGTTGAATATTTCAGTTAATGACTTTCTCAGAAATTGGTCTCTTATGCTTGGTTTTGATGCATGGATGCATTAACATAATTTTGTTCTTTCAGGTTGATGGAAAACTACACCTACAACAGCTTCACACTCCAGTTGGAGGGGTTAAATGTCTCCATGGAGTCTGTCTATCCTGTCTTTCTCTTTTTATTTTTCTCCTACCTGTTTATAATTGTTTCAAATGTGGGCATTGCTGTTCTGGTTTTTATTGACAAGAACCTTCACCAACCTATGTATCTCCTTTTTTGCAATCTGCCACTGAGTGACATCATTGGAAATTCTATCTTAGTGCCCCGTTTGCTAGTAGACTTGTTGCAACCTCCGTCTGAGCGTCTCATCAGTTATTATGAATGTGTGGTTCAAGCTTTCACCACACACATGTTTGGTACCACTGCTCACACAGTTCTTATGATTATGGCCTTTGACAGATATGTGGCCATTTGCAATCCCCTGCGCTATTCTTCCATAATGACCAACAAAATGGTGATCAAGCTGACAGTTTCTGCCTGGGGAGTGGCCTTTGTTTTGGTCGGGATTCTACTTGGTCTGACCATACGGCTGAACCGATGCAGGACTATGATCTTGAATCCATACTGTGACAATGCCTCCTTGTTTAAGCTCTCCTGTGAGAATGTGTTCATTAATAATGTCTATGGCCTCACTTTCACTGTAGTCCTGTTCACAGGTTCTATAGGCTGCATGGTTCTCACCTATACTAAGATTACAGTGGTCTGTCTAACCAGTAAGAACAAGTCTTTAAACAGTAAAGCCTTAAAGACCTGCAGCACTCATTTGGTTGTGTATCTGATCATGGTGTTCAATGGAATGTCTATCATTACTCTTCATCGCTTCCCCCAGTACTCAGACTTCAGAAAATTCTGTACCATTTTGTTTCATATCATCCCTGGCAGCCTCAACCCCATTATTTATGGCCTGCAGTCCAAAGAGATAAAGAAGTTCTTTTCAAAACTGTTCAGGTCCAAGAATGTTTTGCCATCATTATGAGGTCAATTTTCAAGATCTGTTGTGTATATGTATCAATACAAATAATATACAATGTTTACCATGAGTGCCGCATTACATGTTCTTGTTTTTGTCTTTTGTTGATGTATAGACCCCTATTATTGTCATTCTATGATTACAGATATAAATATCAAGGTAATAGGCGGTAATATATTGTTAGAAAAAGGTAATACCATGTTAATTACAGATATAATAACATAGTAATATCTTGGCATTGACAATGAAAGTACCGGTAATGGAGTTTAATTTATGTAATATGGTAATAATAATAGGGCAGAAAATCTCAGTAATGGCACATTTATATTGGGTAACAATAGGCAGCTCAAAATCATGTTCCATCAGAAAAGTATTCTCTCAATAATAATGTGGACATATTGTATGATTTAATTACAGAGAAACAGTGGGCTGTTCAGGTCTACTTTACAAAGAAGCAAGCCTCCTGGAGCTTTTTAGAAAATATTTACTTTCTCTTCGGCTTAACAGCTAAGCGTTACCACAGTGATATCAGAAACAACCTATGGCGCCTGCCTAGGACATTTTAGTGTTTTACAGATATTTTTTGAGACTCTGGAAAAAAATGGACGTCTTGTCACCTTATCCAAATCATATGTAATTAGCAACCTTTTGAAAAACAATTTCAATTTTAATAGAAAAGTAAAACATTTGTTTTATAGGTGTCACAATAGTGACCTGTGGGATGACTTTAATACTAAATTAACATATTTCTCCTACGCAATCATCCAAATTCGTACATATTTACACATATATAACACATTTAAACCCTATCACTGTCAGTACCCTCCATTTCCACTAGAATGTGATAGAGCACCCTAGTGTGACTATTTTTCACATCAAACACCTTTAAATAATATAAATGCTCACCAGAGGAGGTAGAACTCAATAAGAAGTAAGGATAGTCTTGGGGACGAAACTCAGAAGTTCCGGTACTTAGGAACCAGCGAGTACCGACCCATTTCAGGCCCTGAGCATAAAACAGAGCAGTCAACAAAATGTTTAGAACCACCGCAACCATGAGAGCTCCTTGAGCATACAGTCATTACATTCAGACAAATAAACACACGGACACACAGACACGACCAAACGCATGATCCCCTACAGGCTTATAGTTGGTGGAGATACGCATATGTTCATTGTGTTTTTAAGTTTTATGTCAATTTACTTGTTTTGTTAATTGTAGAAAATAACTTTGACATAATTCCTCCACCAACTTTTTATACCGGTTGATGCTTTTTGCAGGTTCATGGGGGGCTGGAGCCCACTCTAGGTCACTTTAGGTGAGAGGCAAAGTGTGCAGTGGACAGGTTGTCTATCACAGGCTGACATTTTTCCTGAAAGTTGGCCCAAGCAAAAAACTCATGCACACATGGATGTGCAGCTCAATGTGAAGGAAATGCTGAATACATTATTAGTGAGAGGAATACAGAATTGACTGGTGGCCTGCTTCAATAATGGCCTCTTTAAAGCAGCAAAAGCAGAAGGGAGCATAGAGGCTGCTGTGAAGTACCATGACGTCCCCAAACATAAATGCAAAGCACCCTAAATATTAATATAGATCAACCAAGATGTATAACATAGATAACAATATAAAGTGTTGACCTATTTTGTTATTTACTGCAGCTTTTAGAGTGTTTGCACTCATTTACTCAAATGGATAACTTCTACACTCAAAATACTACCACAGAAAATATTGTGAGACATGATTGCATGCATTTGTTTAGTTTAGTTTATTATATTAATCAAATAGACAGTACAGACCTCTGACCTGTGTCTACAGCACTATAACAATAGTATAATTATTTACCTTTATTAGTATCATCTCAACTTTATTTTCTTAATATAGCACATTTTATACAAACATGCAGCCCAAAGTGCTGAATGAAATAAACAGTACAGACCTCTGACCTTTATACAGCAATCACACAATAAGCAAAAAATACATTAAAGAAATAAGACAAACCTTTTTCAGATATATTGACAAAAGTTAAAAGCACAAGAAATTCCAAACGGAGCATTTTCTTATTCCAATCATTATATGAACTTTTACATTGCTGCTGACTTTTAGAATTATTTATATTGTAACAACCACTTTGTGAAAGTGAATGTAGATCCAAATAAAGAATTAAGTTACGGTGGAATTGAGGGTATAACAAAAGAGAAACTTTTTCCTGTCTCAGAGAGCAACAAGTTGTATATTTTTGCTTGTTGACAGCTGTGATGGCCATTCATTCTTATTGTTGCATCATACATTGTCCAAGGTAATGATCATTGAATTCCCTAAAGTTAAGTCTATAAAACATTGAAACAGAGATCATCTTGTGAGTGCTTGTGGGCATAACCAGCAGGGAACCGGAAGAAACAAAAAAGGGACAACAGAGTGAAACAGCATTTAATGCAGGTATTACTACTTATCTACTTGTTTCTCTCTTGATTTCTGATCAGATAAAAAACACAATTTTCAAATTTTTGGCTTTGATTGTTAGAACAATGATTTGCAACAGAGGAAAAAGAAAGGGATAGATTAAGAGACACGGTCTATAACATTTAGTTCTAGGTGTCTTTAGCAAATGATCTCTGACACCTAAAATTATCTAGACATTAGTGACTTTAACATCATTGTTTTCTACATTTAGGGGGATGGAAAACTACACCTACAACAGCTTCACACTGCAGTTGGAGGGGTTAAATGTCTCTAAGGAGTCTGTCTACCCTGTATTTCTCTTCTTCTTTTTCTCCTACCTCTTCATAATGGTTACAAATGTGGGTATTGCTGTTCTGGTTTTCATTGACAAGAACCTCCACCAGCCTATGTATCTTCTTTTTGCAACCTGCCCTTTAATGATATTCTTGGAAACTCTATCATGGTTCCCCGTTTGCTTGTAGACATGTTGCGGCCTCCATCTGAGCGCCTCATCAGTTATTATGAATGTGTTGTTCAAGCTTTCACCTCACACATGTTTGGTACCACCAGTCACACAGTGCTCATGATTATGGCCTTTGACAGATATGTGGCCATTTGTAATCCCCTGCGCTATGCTTCCATAATGACCAACAAAATGGTGATCAAGCTGACAGTTTCTGCCTGGGGAGTGGCCTTCATTTTGGTCGGGATTCTACTCGGTCTGACCATACGGCTGAACCGATGCAGGACTATGA